ACTGTATCGGGCTAACAGGATGTACATTCGCGCCTCGCTGCGCCTCGGGCTAGCCTCGGGGCGACTCTGATATGCCCGAGAGCACTCGAGATTTGCCCCTTGAGACACGTAGTAGAGTATTCTATTGTATGCGTCCTATTAGAATCGCGACCTTGAGAGCTTTTTATGCCACTCTGGTCGTGGGCTAGCGTAGGACAATGCCTGTACGTCCAGTACATAAGCCCAGGCTTTCCGATCGGCGATAAGTTGATAAGTCGCCGACAAGTGTAATGTTTAGATAAATAAGATAATTTCTTGCGTGGATGCCGTCTTCAACGCCTCGCACGGGCCTTATAGTCTGCATAGTAGGCTTTCATTCAGTATACAGATTCCGCAGCAACAGTAGAGGAGAGCTGGGGGAAATAGAGCAGCTCGGGGGTCTCCGTAAACGGCCGGTGTGATTAGTGTGCCTTTGCTGCGTCTTTTGGTGTGAGCTCGAATATGGTCTTTAGGCAGTTCCTTCTGTCTTCAGACAATGTGCGCTGTCTGAAGACAGAGAGAGTCCGTCCGAAGGCGGGGACTATCTTAAGACAGACGGGAGTGATGGCGGACTGGCGGAATTGATGGCGGATTGGCGGAATCCGCCACCTTACATAATCCCCGCGCCGCAACCGTTCTCAGCAAGTTCGTGTGCCTGTATATTATGCGCTTCCGCTCGTATTTGCTTCCCGCATACCTCTCTCCTTGTCCTTCCTTCTCTACGCATCGCTTTGAGCTATGATTCGTATTGTTATAGTTGGTGGCGGCGCGGCCGGTGCCGCCATTGCCCGCGAAGTCTCGAAGTTTGTCGAGCCGGCCAAGCACTCGCTGACGCTCATCAACGCACGGCCTTTCACCATCCTCCTTCCCGCCTCAGTGCGCATGACGGCCATCGGGTCCGAGCATCTCGAGGATAAAGTGCTCGTCCCCTTCGACAACCTCTTCATCAACGGCAACGGGACTGTCGTCGTGGGCCGCGTCACGTCCGTCGAGGCGACGAAGGGCCAGGCTGGTGGGAACGTTGTTCTCGAGAGCGGGGAGAAGGTCGAGTATGACATTCTTGTGCTGGTGCCGGGGAATACGTGGTCTGGACCGCTGGACTTCCCTGATGGAAATGAAGCGGTCTATGAGCATATACACGAGTGGCAGCGGAAGTTCGCCGCGGCGAAGAGTGTTGTCATGGTCGGCGGTGGGGCTGTCGGTATTGGTACGTGTCTCCCCTTCATCGTCTTTGTGTTCCCGCATATTGATGTGGCTCGCGACAGAATATGCCGGCGAAGTCCGTGACTTCTTCCCGGACAAGAAGGCGACCATCGTGCACAACCAAAAACTGCTGTTGAACCCCTACTACCCGGACAAGTTCAGGCGGTACATAGCAGATGATGTTCGCGCTGCAGGCGTGGAGATGTTGCTCGGTGACTCGGTGGACACTCTTCAGGCCAGTGAGGGCAAGGGCCTTACTACCCGCTCTGGGAAGAAGCTTGATGCGGACCTGATTGTGAGTGAACCCAAGTCGGCCACACCCACGCGAGCGCTTACTAAAGAACATACAGGTACCATCCTTCGGTGGCAAGCCCGCAACGAAGTTCGTCGCTTCCTTGGGCTCGGACGCCCTCACCAGTACCGGCCACATCCGCGTGAAGCCGAACCTCGAGCTACCCGACTTCCCGCACGTTTTCTCCGCGGGCGACGCTATCGAGTGGGACGAACCGAAGCAGGTTGTCTCTGTACTTGCTCAGGTTCCCATCATCGTCGCCAACATCAAAAGTATCCTCCAAGCCAAAACACCTGCGAAGGAGTATAAGGGTGCCATGAGGGCTTTGCTCATCACTAATGGCAGGGTGAGCACAGCCGTCACTTCTCACGTTCGGTATCGTTGCTGACCAACGCACGCAGTATCGTGGGCTTCTCTATGTGGGCATGCTCTGGGGCATCACGCTCGGGAACTGGATCGCGAGCAGGATGAAGGGCCGGACGCTTCTCCTTGACAAGGGACGGACGGCGCTCGGCGCAAAACCCTAATTCAGCACGAACTCAGCATTCACACCACCCTGTCTACAATCTTGGTGAAATTGAAGTGTATATCTCTGAGCTCGCCTCTCTCGATAATCGGCCCATGACTCCGATGAGTACCGCGTGTATCTTTAAATCCCTTTGCAGTATACCATACGCACACTATCCCCCATCTGAATGGGTTCTTGACAGAAAGTAGCCTCACGATGAGCGCTGATCCGGAACTCACGTGTGCGCGTTTGCCGAACCTCATCATTCAGTGGCTCTTCCACCTCCGGATTTCGGTCATCGCATGTGAGAGTTTAAGAAGAGACCTGCAAGCTTCACGTACAAGAGTGTTCACGTAAAACTCGCGAAAGCAATGGTTGCCAAACGTGAGAAGCGATCAACGCAGTCACGCGTGGCCCACAATCCGACCTTCGCGTCTTTCGGACGACCACCACACGCTCCTCTTCCGCACTCTACACCTACCCGCCGCGCCCATGCCTACCGGCGGCCGCAAGTCCTCCTTCGGGCGCTCCCAGCCCCAACGCCATGTCCCCTATTCGATGGACGCCGCGACGAAAGGACGTCATGGAACGAATATCCCGCGGCAGAGTGCGCAATCGGACGGGTTCGAAGACTTTGAGGCTATCAATGATATTGATCCGACGCCGCCGAGACCTGCGAGAGAGAGGAGAAGGAGTAGTATGGGCGGGGCGAAGCCGAGGAAGAGCCGGGCGAGGGAAGAAGAGGAGGAGGATGTGTTTGGAGAGGAGAGCATGGAGCTCGACGGTACGCTATGAGCATATAATATATTGCGGTTATATTCAAAGGTATTACAGACGACGAACCCGTGAGCAGGATGCGCAATGCACGGCAACACCCGGACTCTGCACGCAGCTCGCGCCCCATCTCCCGGCGCGCGAGCGGTGTCGATTACGATGCTCTCCCCAGCCCACCTCAACGCTCTCAACGACGCTCTTCGGCCTACAGCAGCGTCTTGCCCAGCGAATATGATCCCGAACCCGACCAAGACATGGACGATGTCCCCTTCTTCGATGACGACGATTTGCCGCCAATCTCGGACGGCAATGCCACCACGCCCACACCTCGCGCCAGGAGACGAGAAAGCTTTTCGGAAATGGGCGAGGAGGATCAGGAAGAGGAGGATCAGCCGCCCACTCCCGTGCCTGTGTCTAAGAAGGGCAAGGGGAAGCGCGTTGTGGAGGAGATAGACGATGAGGTGCAGGACGGGCCGAGTATACGGGTCACTGGCGCGCAGCGCGGGAAGGGCAAGGGCAAGGAGCCTATCCGCACTGTCGAGGAAGAGGTGTACGACAACGACATGGAGGACGCTATTGCTCGCGGGATGGACGAGGTGGAGAACATGAACCTCGACGACGACGAGCAGATGCAGGACGAAGACGAGCCTGCACCCGTCTCCGCCAGCCCGCCGAAGAAGAAACGTGGTCGTCCACCCAAGAAAGTCGCCGTCACGCCTGTCCTTGACGAGGAAACGCCGGAACATGAACAAGGCCCACGACGCGGTACTCGCCAACGATATGCTCCGCTCGAATGGTGGCGGAACGAGAAGGTCGTGTACGGCAAACGCGAGAACGGCATCGCGTACTGCCCAATCGTCAAAGCCATCGTCCGTGTCCCCAAGGAACCTCCAAAGCCTCTCGGCAAGCACGCCCGCAAACGCGTCAACCACTCTCAACGGCGTACGCCCGCGCTAGGAGTCGCGAATCCAGAGGAAGGCTGGGACGATCAAACCGAACCACAAGGTCGTGTCTTGGACTGGACGACGAAGGAGGAGGTCGAGCGCAGGATCGCGTTTCCGAGCAGTCATGTGCAGTATAAGGCCGCCAACGACGAGATGTTCTTTTTCCAGAAGATTTTTGGCGATGCGGAGTATATGGCTGCGGGGCAGTTGCTCATCCCGGTTGGGGGACACAAGCCGACTAAGACTACGAAGGACAATACCTATGTACGCTGGTTCTCCTCCATCGCTTACTTAATGTCATGCTTAACCGGGACACAGGTCTTCTATGTAATCGAAGGTGCAGTGACGTTCAAGGTCCACGAAACGTCCTATATCCTCTGTACGGGTGGCTCCATTCTCGTTCCTCGCGGGAACACATACTACATCGAGAACATCTCCGATCGCGACGCCAAGATCTTCTTTGCGCAGGCCAGGCGGGTACAGGC